AAATGCATGTGCATCTTAGTGTCAATTGTATTGAAAATGAATTTTTCTGTATGAAACTGTATTTTAATAGTGAAATGAAGATCTTTTTTAAAATTTAAAACTTCATTTGATTTTGTCTTATAGGGTTTATACTGAGTACAATATTGTATAACTGTATTAATTCAACTGTAAACCTAAAAATTTACAGCCAATTTTGAAGGAGATGCATCTTAGCTCTAGAAATTGTTATTGAATGTCAATGCTCTTGTAATGAAATGCTTCTTCTGATTGTGTGGTTATTAAATAAATAATTTAAAAAAACTTATCCAATTTAATGTCTTACAGGGCTTGTACTGTGTTCAATAATATATAACTATATTAATTCAACTGTGAACCTAGAAACTTGCACCCACTTGTGAAAGAGATGTACTCTTGCTCTGGAGTGTGTTACTGATTATGTTAAAGCTGTAGTGAAAAGCTTCTTCTAATCATGTAGTTTTTAAAAATTAAAAATATATATAATGATTAAAAAAATAAATCTTCAAAGCATAAAAATTTGCTCCTTAATAATTAGTAGATGTGAAAAACATTATCATTGAAATCTACCTGATGACTTTATATCCATGCTCAGATGCCAAGGAGCTCAGAAAGTAACCAACTGTGACTAGTAATAATCTGATATATAGAGATTAGAAACGCATGTGCAAACATCTTAATGTCAATTGCATTAAAAATGTCTTCTGTATGAAACTGTATTTTAATAATGAAATGGAGATCTTTTTTAAAGGTTAAAACCTCATGTTATTGTATGTCTTATAGGGTTTATACTGAATACAATATTTTATAACTGTAATAATTCAATTGTAAACCTGAAAATGTACAGCCAATTTTGAAAGAGATACATCTTAGCTCAGAAAATTATTATTGAATATGTCAATGCTGATGTAATGAAATGCTTCTTCTAAGTATGTGGTTATTAAATAAATAATTTTTTTAAAAAAGAAAAATATAAGTATATCTAAAATGTGTGTGACACCTAAGTAACAGATATTGTTTTAGATGTATAAAAAGGAAGAAAAAGTATGTATATGTTAAAAAGTGTATACATATAGAAAGCTCAATTTAAAATGAACCAATTAGTGGCACATCATAAAAGGAAATTAACTTTAAGTGCCACATGCTAGTATAGAAATATCTTATACAAAATGGATAGAAAATCACATATTTTATTCTTCATCATTAAGAGAAAACACTTCTTTGCTACCACAGGACTGTGATTACATTTTCTCCAACTACATAAAAAATGGGGATTACAGAATAGCAATTTAATATGATATCTATGATCTATAACCATAAACTGTTCTGAGAGTAACTGAGACTAGATAAATCTTTGGGAGAAAAGCTAATCTAATGTTTTTCAAATTCCATAGGGTTGTCAAGAAACCCTTGTGGAGAGCCAGTAAGATGGCTCAGCAGGTAAAGGCACTTGTTGAACAAATCTGATAACATAAGTCTGATCCCTGGAACCCACGTAAAGGTGGAAGGAAAGAACCAACTCCACAAAGCTGTCCTCTGATATCCACATATGTTCATGACATACACACCCATACACACACATTATGCTCCCCCACAATCATTAAGAAACTCTTGTGTAATGTTTATTCCATAGAATTTTACTCTGTAAGTAAAGATTTCATTCAGAGTTGACAAAAACAAAAAGATGTCTTCTACAAAACAAATTTTCACTTGTGATCTGATATTATTACTACAGTCTAAATTCCAGTGTTCCACCAGGTGTGGTAGCAGACACCTTTCATCTAATCCCAACACTCAGGAGGCAGAGGCATGTGGATCTCTATGAGTCTGAGGCCAGCCTGGTTGATACAATAAGACCCTGTCTCAAAACAAAAACAAAATAAGGGGCTGGAGAGAAGGCTCAGCAGTTAGTAGCACTGTTTATTCTTGCAGAGGACCCAGGTTCAGTCCCCAGCACCCACATGGCAGCTAACAACCATAAGTAACTCCAGTTCCACGGGATCTGATGCCCTCTTCTGACCTTTGCAGGCATTGCACAACATGGGTGCACTTACATACATGCAGACAATACACATAAAATAAAAATAATAAATAAAATATTGAAAATAAATTCTAGTGTTTTCTAAGAGCTTTATCCTGTTTCACTGTAAACAACAGAAATATCTGATACTTCACAATAATTTATACTTAATGCTCTCAAATAAGTAATTTTGTCACAAGAATCAAATTACATGTACTTTAATCTTCTAACTTGCCTAAATTTTTTTTTCATTAGTCTCTTATTATAAG